GAAGGAGTGTACCGATATATTCCAGACCTTGGGTTAATAAAAATATTGGGATGTGTGAAATTTGAAGACAGTCGGACTCATCCATCACATTTGATAAGAGTTGCAATTATTCAAAACTTTGGCCCTTTGTGGGGGAGGTAGTTTATAGAGTGGACCGATAGTTTCCATTTTCGCACCTGACCTAGCACTGACGCAAATATTAGAATTTGCAAAGTTGGAGAAAAATCGGGTTATCCTTTCTCTTTCTGTGCAGAAAATATATTTATTGAAAATTTCGACATTTTGTGGGGCAGGTACCAGAAGGAGTGGACCGATATTTCCCATCTCCGAACTCGATCTAAGTTCGACAAAAATATTACGATGTACCAACTTTGGACAAAATTATATACTTCCTTCGACAGTTATATAGCACATCAGCCAGCCAGACAGACAGACGGACGGACATCGGAAGATCGACTCACAATGTCCTGAAACGGATTTGATCCATAGAGACCTAGGGTCTAAAACCGTTATTTCGATGAGGCACGTTTTGGCCTTATCAAAGGATATATACCCTCCCTCGCGATATGGCTGGGGGTATAAAAAATACGAAGAGAGGTCTCAGATAAATGATGTTCAAATATTTTGCCAATTTCCGGAAATTGTGCAACAAAAAATATCAGAACTCACTAGAGGGCTATAACAAGTAGAAATTCCACTGAGAACCCAAGGGCTTTTCCCCCAAATTTCAATACCAATCTTTCTAGAAAAAATATAAAAAATGTATTAAAAAATTGTGGTCCTGAGCAAAAATCGACACTTAAAAGGTTTAGTGGGCCTTGATTTTATTTTTTAATCCAGGATTAATGTTGGTTCATGAACCAAAAAAATGTTATTAAGACCCCATGTTCAAATGTCCCGACAGTCCTTGTAAAAAACATTTTTTAAATTCTGACTTGAGAGAGTAATCATAAAAATTCAAAAAATTCTTTCAAGGAAAAATTCCGCAAAAGTCGACAATTAAAAGCTTTATATAAAATAAATCTCACAGAGAAGATATACCAGAGATAGAATATTTCAGTCCAGTTATCCTATCCAATAAAAATATTCAATAAAATTTATGGACATATTTAAAAAAATCATAAATATCATATAAGTCGTAGGGAACCCCTAAGGTTCATATAAGATCGAAAAAATATCACTCCTTTTCGCAATGAAATAAGATCCACACCTTTTGTTGCCTGCCTTCCTTACAAACAGCTATCTTCATAAAATAATAGAACAACTCTCGTCGGGTTTTTTAAATTTTTTTCCAGAGGTAGATATTTGTATCCTAATTTGTAAAAGTATTTTTTTCTTGGGGGACGGACCCGGATATTTGAGTTAAAATTCCGGCATTAGGACCCGGACGTACGAAGCCAAATGGACAATATATCATTTGCAAGCTAATGAAAAGTCAAAAAAGGCACAAGTTTGGGAGTCCAGTTCTTGAACCCGGACATTTGGTTTAAATATCCAGGTATCCGTATTCGTTCTCCAAAAAAAAATACTTCTAGTTTTTTTTGCACTTGCTATCAAATTTTGCTATCATTATCTTCTCATTAGGTTGTTCACTAAAAAAAGCCGAGGTTCCACTGTTCACTTAAGGTGTATCAGCTAACACCGTGTTTATGTTTCTAGAATATTTCGCTAGAAAAAGAAAAAAAAATAACATTCTGTTTTGATAAGTGCTCGTCGGCTTGGCTGTATATTTGACCTTAAATGAATAGAAACAACAAAACTTTCTTGTGTGTCTGCCCGTATCAAATATATACAAACGGTTCCGACCGGTTTTATGCATATCTCGTGATTTTTTTATAATTTTAGTGCGTATAATAGCTTGTTGTTGTTATGCTTCTTTTTGTTTTTTTGTATGTTTCAGGAGGAGAATGGCAAGAACAAAACAAATGAAAAGACAACAAAACAAAAAGGCCAAAAACTATGACAACCAACCCCAGAAGAAAAACAACAACAGAACATTATGGGGTGGAGCTGTAATAGGAAACAACATCAAAACTTTCCGCAACAAAGTGTCGGCCAAATTCTGAGCCAAAAAACAAAAACAAAATGGAAAGGGGATTACCGGTCAAATTGAGTATTTGTTATGATTTAAACCACTTTGTTGACCTTCTCCATTTGTTGTTTCAGTCTTAGATTTTGCATAGACAACCAATCCACCACCACACAGACAGATGGATGGATGGATGGATAGAGCAAACATACGGCACACGGGAGTTGTGGTCGTCGTCATCGCTTTTATGATTGAACATAACACCCCCCCACACCTTCCCTAGCTTAATTGCTAAAAAAATCAATATTACACATGCCGCCACTTATATTCGAATAAGTGTGTATGTTTCAACATCAGGGATGGAAATTTCAATACCGTCGGACTTTTCTGTTACTTTTTCATTTGGGAAGGAAAATAGTATTCAAAGGTTTTCAAGTGGTAAAAAGACTTCAGAATATACAGAGATATGAAAATCTGCTGTAGACATCTGTTCATTCAACCCCTGAAGAAAAAAATTCGCCACATCCACGCCTAAAAGTCTGGAGGTTGTCGAGAGAAAAAACTCTCCACATTTTCAAAAAAAAATAAAAAATTCTCCACATCCACGCCTAAAAGTCTAAAGGTTCTTGAGGGGAAAAAAATCTCCACATCCACGCCTAAAAGTCTGAAGGTTCTTGAGGGGAAAAAAATCTCCACATTTTCAAAAAAAATAAAAAATTCTCCACATCCACGCCTAAATGTCTGAAGGTTCTTGAGGAAAAAAAATCATCCGCATCCACGCCTAAAAGTCTCTAGGTTCTTGAGGGAAAAATTCTCCACATCCACGCTTAAAAGTCTGGAGGTTCTCGAGGGAAAAATTATCCGCATCCACGCCTAAAAGTCTCTAGGTTCTTGAGGGAGTCTAGAGGGGCTCTTGAGTGGAAAATTCTTGAAAGATCCACGCCTAAAAGTCTCTAGGTTCTTGAGGGAGTCTAGAGCGGCTCTTGAGTGGAAAATTCTTGAAAAATCCACGCCTAAAAGTCTATAGGGGCTCTTGAGTGGAAAATTCTTTAAAATCTAGGCCTAAAAGTCTGGAGATTATTAATAAAAAAATTTCTTGAAAAATCCACTCCTAAAAGTCTCTATATTCTTGGGGGGAAAATTCTTGAAAAATCCACGCCTAAAGGTCTAAAGGGGTTCTTGAGGGGAAAATTCTTTAAAATGAAGGCCTAAGAGTCTGGAGGTTCTTGAGGGGAAAATTCTTTAAAAACCCAGCCCTAAAAGCCTGGAGGTTCTTGAGGGGAAAATTCTTTAAAAACACAGGCCTAAAAGTGTGTAGGTTCTTGAAAAAAATTCTTAAAAAATCCACCTCTAAAAGTCTGGAGGAAAAATCTTTAAAAATCTACGGCTAAAAGCCTGGAGGTTCTTGAGGGAAAAATTCTTTAAAAATCTACGGCTAAAAGTCTGGAGGTTCTTGAGGGAAAAATTCTTTAAAAATTCACGCCATAACAGATTTCTCCTTAAAAAATTCTTTAAAAATCCACGCCATAACAGATCTCTCCTTGAAAATTCTTTGAAAATTCACGCCATAACAGATCTCCCCTTGAAAATTCTTTAAAAATCCTCGCCGCAACAGATCTCTCCTTGAAAATTCTTTAAAAATGCACGCCATAACAGATCTCTCCTTGAAAAATCTTTAAAATCCACGCCATGAGAGATTCGGTAGTCCTTAAAAGAAATTCTTTTCAGAAACCTACTCTGAATAGGTCTGGAGGTTTCTAAAGAAAAGAAGTAAAAAAAAAACTGTAAGTTCGGCCGGTCCGAACTTTGAATACCCTCCACGGTTTGGAAGGAATTTGGCAATTTGAGTAATGTAGCTAAAATCATCAAAATACCGAATATAGGGAGGTAGCATTATATGGGCGATATACCAAAACGTGGACCTGCACAGACAATTTTCTGTCATAGGCTGTAATATCCCTTACGAACTTCAAATACCAAATTTGAAAAAATTTCGGTGAATAATGTCGCTTAAATCACCAAAATACCGAAAATAGTATCTATATATGGGGGCTATACGAAGGCGTGGACCTGCACGGACAATTTTCTGTCTTGGACTGTAGTATCCATTACGAACTTCAAATACCGAATTTGAAACAATTCCGGTGAATAATGTGGCAAAAATCATCAAAATACCGAATATCGGGAGGTGCCGATATATGTGGGCTATACCAAAATGTGGATCTACATGGCCCATTTTCAATATCAAAAGTCCTGCAGACATAATATACATTTGGGTAAAATTTTATCAACTTCATTACGTTCGGAAGCTAGAGTGATTTCCACAGACGGATAGAGGCCTTCTAAACCTAAACTTTCTCGAGGCCTTATCAACCAATAGATAGGTCTTCTATAGGTGCTCTATAAACGGACAACATTCAAATGCTCTTCCGGGGAACAGAAGATCGTATTTCAAATTTCTTCCCATCCACATCGATGAGTACCATTAGCTACATATTTCTTTCTAGAATTTAAAATGTTCCATCTCTGGTGTTATTATGTATGCTAAGTGAGCGGGGGGAAGCAAGTGCAGGGTCATAGTCATCGAATCAAATAAAAACTGAAATAAAGTTGAAAAAAATCTTCATCAGCATCGGCATGAACGTTACAGTTCATTGGAATAGGAGAATGGCATAAAAAGAACAGCAACAGCAATAAATATATTATCAATGCGCTATTGCTTGCGGAAGTTGGCTGGTAGGTCAGGCAAGGCAAGTAAAATGTTGTGGTGGTACCCCCAAAAATAACAACAACAACACCACCAGCTAGTGTCATACACATAACACTTGGACAAATGCAAAAGCCACGCATCCCCTTAATAATATCCATACTCTCCAATTGGAAATTGTGGAATACATATATACAACTAGAAAAATATTTACATTAAATCGAAAAATAAAACACAAAATTGTTCAAATTGCTGTCTTCTTACCTGTTGATTAGTTTTGTTTTTTAAGCAAACTTCAACACTAATGGAATTTTTTTTCTTCCAAAGCGACGTTAATGATGATGATGTTATTTTTTCGCTCGCGCTGTTTACGCCGAGAGGAGGCAACACACAAAAACAAGTGTAAACAAGTGTTAAATGGGAACGACTGTCGGATGTCTTCCAAGTACGTTGTTTTTTCTTGTTTCTTCTTCTTTTGCAATTAAATCAATCACTCGCACACGATTCGTCACCCCGCATGTGTTATCGGTTAAATGAATGATGTGTAGGAATGTGTTTTTTTTTTTATTGGCTGGTTAATATTTTATTTCTTTACTTCTTTTGTGGATAAACTTTCACGAAATGGGCAAAATACTCTCTTTCACTCTCGTCGTCAAGTACACTTCCTCTGTTCGTGAACTTCGTTTTTTGAACTGTCATCTGAATGGGAATAGGGATATGTAGGTCGATTTTCGATTGCTCGAGTAATCGATTTTTTGATGTCGCAAAGTCTAAAGTGGAATACACACAGTCAGTTGTGTTTGCCATTTTTGTTGAAATATCGCTTGACAGTGTGGCATTACAATTCTCTCATTAGTCAACCTATGAAAAAATAATAAAGGTAGCCGCCTAAACACAGCTGTCAAAATGTTTTTGAAATTATGAATAAAACATTTTAAATATAAAATATATAAACGTAGATGATTGCCGGACAAGCCACTGAAGGGAAATTTAGAATATTTGACTTAGAAATAAAAAAAAATATTTAAAATAATAAAATAAAGTGTGATTATTTGGGAATTATCTGGTTGGCAACAAAAAGGTCACAAATACAGGGTGAGATAAAAAAAACTGCAACAAAGTCAAACGCCATAATTTTTACATTTTTTTAAATTTTATTGAATGAAAGCAAAAAATTTATCAAATAAAATTGCATCAAATTTTAGAATAAGTTTAGATTTGTTTAAATTGGTCACCTTTGGCACGAATTCTAACCTTCAAACGGCCAATGAAACCGTTACACGCTGCCCGAAAGTTGCTCTGCGGTATTTTGTATCATTCCTGGCGAAGCGTTTGCTTGAGTTGATCGACACTTTGGTATTTTTTAGGGTTAACCTTGCTCCAGACACAATAGTTCAATGGATTGGAATCCGGAGATTTTGGTGGCCATTGTGCGCTAAAAATGAAGCGAGGAACCACATTTTGTAACCATTCTTGGGTGGCGCGTACTGAGTGCGATGGTGCTGAGTCTGGTCTGCGGCCAAAATGTATGCGTGTCCAAGGCTTTAATACACCCTCCAGATTATTTTCGCGATAATATTTGGCATTTATTCTAAAGCCACGGTCGATAAATACGAGCGGAGGGGAGAGCGACCATCGGCTGTTATGGGGGCCCACACCATCACCATGGCCGGCGCTTGAGTTCTGGTGGCCAACCGAAGGTGCACATTTTCAGCTGACCTCTTTGGCAAACTTTGACAAACTTCTGGACAACGAATGTTTTCTCATCGGAGCGGAGAAACCTAAACTCGGCAGTTCACCACTTGCGGCCAAGCGAAGCAACTCTTTAGCTCTTTTGTGTCTATTTTCTTTCGGTTGCGGTGTAAGTTCTTGTGCTTTTTGGAATTTCAATGGAGCTCATTTTTCAATATTTGCCAAATGGAATATTGCGATATGTTCAGCTCAGCTTGTAAACAATATAATGAGCTGTCAGTGGTATTTTGAAGATTTGTTATTTCATATTATTGTTTCAATATATTGTGCAACATCTGCTGTTACATTGTTGTACCGTGGTTAAAACGTATGCTATCTCAATGAGTATTAATAAAAATCGAAATTTTCATGAATTAATTTTTCGACATCATGTGGTTAGGTATACAAACACAAATTCGTACTTTAATTCTTGATGTGTTATTTGCTTCTAAACCACACTTCTTACGACAATTCTTCTTTTTTTGTCATATATTCCACAAAAATGCCGATTTAAATGACGTATTTTAATTTTTTTCATTCAATGTAAACGTTTTATCAATTTGACGTTTTTCGCTAACGCTTTTCCATTATAGCGAACGCCAAACGCTTTTATGCGTCGCCGTCCACATCACAATGAGTTGATAACCCACATTCCTGCTAATCACCGAGAGATGATAACACTGTTCGATTATTTGATTACTTTGTATATTCGGTTCATTCGTTCAGTCGTCGTGATTTTTTCATTACAAAAAAACTTATTTAATTTCATGTCGCTTCCAATTTAGAAAACTGAAAATTCTGTCCACAATTCGTTTGTTCATTTTGCATAAATCTAGTATTTGATAAGTGATAAATAGAAAACGCTTACGTTTGCCGTGAAATTTTCAAACGTGAAAACAGGCGAAAGAAAACATAAGAGTGAGAAATATTGCACACACAATCAACCAAAGCAACAGATATTTTTTTTTGCTCGCTGCTGCTATTGATGATGATGATGGTGTCGAGGAATTAACAAATAAAACGAAACGAAATGAAAGAAGGTTGTGTATGGAAGTAATGTAGAAAAAAAAGAGTGTGGAGCAGCATAAAAAAGTGAAGTGGTGGTGATTGTTAAAAAAAGAGGAAAGAAAAAGCAAGGAAATAAGAAAAAAATGAGATAAATTATTTAAAGAAAAGTTTTTAAGAATGTCTTGAGTTTTTGTGTCGCAGAAAATGAAAATGTGAAAAAAAGGTTCTGAAAAAGTGGATGTCTGAACGAAAAAGAGTACAAAACTAAATTGTAAGTGCAAGTCAACCAACCAACATTCTCTACTACGTTGTCGTCTACCATTATCATGTCCGTCTGTCTGTGTGTTTGCTGGCTCCTCGGCCAGTCCAATTGTTGATTCGTTGCAAAATAACAATTTTATGGGAGTTATTTATAAGGTCTAAATGAAATCAAGGATTTATTCAAAGATAATTAAAATTGGGTAATATTTTTTTTAAATATGTTGATATCGGCTTTTATGATTTTTTTCTGTTTCAATCATCCATCAGCCGCGCCGCGCCATTGACAGTAGGCGCAGCAACAGAGCAGCTCTGTCAAATAGAGTTTGCCAAACTCATCTCACCGTCATAAATAGCAAAGTCATTTAGAATTTTTTGGCGCCGCTGATCTTACTTTGGTTGCTCGTAAGCCGCCTGAGTGGACTAATGACTTAAACTTGGAAGAGAAATAAACAAATAGATAAAATTTGGAATTTGGTGGATTTGAACATAACTTTTCAGTGACATCTCATTATAATGGTATTTGAATTTCTGTGTTTGAGTCTGATGTTTACTAATTGGATTCTTATTGGTAATTTCAGATTATCGATTTAATGACGGCCCAAACCAAGTGAGAAAAAAACAAATTGAATGTTTGGTATTGCTCCAAGAAATTTCAAGAAATTAATAAAGTCCAAAACCAACTCCATTCAATGCGTCGAAAATTTGAGTTAAGCATATTTTTCGAAAACCAAGTCTGTTTGGAACTCGTGCCGGTCAGAAAAATATGGATGTAATTTTAAAAGCAGAAGAAGATTTAGATGTGAAAAATCCTTTGTTGGGGGACTTTCATAGAAAAAAAGACTTCTTGAGGAGCCATTAAAAATTTAATTTAAATATATTATGAGGTCTACCATACCTTCAACACGGTTTTCTAGCTCTCCAAACAATGTCGAAGAATTCTCAAAAAATAGATATCAGCTTCGTTGCAACGGTCAAAGCCATGAAAATAGTTGGATTGAAAATGATCCCTAACGAGGTCTTCCTCGCAAGGTTTTTATTTACAAGTTACTGGAAGCAGATCGCGGAACAGCTCTAGTTTATTAAAAACTTTTCGATTTTTTTCGAAATTTTTTTCCTCTGAATCCAGGAAAATATTTTTTTCTTGGGGGATGGACCCGGTACCCGAAAGCCCGAAAGTCTAGACCCGGACTTACCCGATATAGACAACAAATGGTCATTTATAAGCGGTTCGGATGTTATAGTCAAATTATCGCTTTTTTTGGACCTAAAAAAAAATAAGTAGCTCTGGAAAAAAATTCGAAAAAATTTAAGATTTTTACTAGAGTTTAGCCCAGATCGCATAACAAGCAGCATAGAAAGTAGGTGAAAATTTCCTAAAAAAAGAGGAATAAAGAGGATTTGATACGGTCAAAACGGGTATTTAAATAACGGGTTTTAGACGCCAAGTCTCTTTGAACGAAATTCGCGTCAAAACATTTGGAGTAGATGTAGTCGTGTCCGTCACTACGTATACAGATCTCTAAAGTTGCACCAATTCTCTGCATCCATTACCGAAACAGATTTCTGGTAAATAATGTTCCTAAAAATTGAGCTGAACCAAGGTCCAAGGGGCTTTCCCCGATCCCTGCCGGGATTGAAAGTATTCACAGAAAGCAGAAAATTAAGAGATACGAACATGTATAAACCGAGGTAGCAGCTGCTGTCATAAACTGAGTTGTTGTTTACGATCCAATCATTTGTCATAGAGTGGATCTGCCTATCTGGCTGGTGGGCATGAAAACTCTCGAATCGAGTATCCGATTTTGTCCAAACTTAATCAAATTTACACATCATAATATTTTTATTAACCCAAGGTCTGATGTGAAGATGGAATAAAATGGTCCATTCCTTCTGGCCCCTCCTCCACAAAGGGTAAAAATTTTGAATATTTAAGAAGCTTATGAAACACGAAATTGACATCCGATTCAATTCAAACTAGGCACATCTCAATATTTCCATAAGCACAAGGCCTATTAAAAATATGGTAGAGATCGGAATATTCCTTCAGTTACCTCTCCCACAAAGGATCAATGTTTTGAATAACCAAAACTGTCATAAAATCCTAAATAAGCATCCGGTTCTCTTCAAATTACACACATCTAAATATTTTTATTAACCCAAGGTCCTGCGTTGAATTGGAATATATCCATCCACTCCTTCTGGTGCCTCCTCCAAAAGGGTTCAAATTTTGAGTATCCATGAAGCTCCATTCTGACATGGTACATCTCAATATTTCCATCAACGCCAGGTCTCTTATAAATATGCTAGAGATCGGAGCATTTCCACATAGGGTTCAAGATTTTTGAAAAACAAAACGCTCAAAGAATGCGAGATAAGCATCCAACTCTCTTCAAATTTCAACGCTTCAAATATTTTTGCTATTGGCCAACTGCCAACAGTTTCGGAACCTCCCCCATAAAGGGTCAACAGTTGGAATAATCATAACTCAAGGCTGGGGGTATATATCGTCGTAAAAACCGACTGATACTATTTTACTTTTTTTTTTTAAATTTCGCTCATTCCAACATTTCTATCAATACAAGATCTGGTGTGAAGATGGGATATATTTACCCACTCTCTCTAATACCTCCCGGGTCAACGGGTCAAAATTGTCAATAAGTGCTCATAATAAGCGAACTAAGGATCCGATTCTCTGCAAATTTAGAGAAAATTAAGGGAACCTATACTACAATTTCATGGCCCATATCTAGGGGCCATCCACAAGAATGTTTTTCCCCTCAGGTCCCTGGGAGCTACTTATGGTCAAAATTTAAACTCATAATGAATTCTTTGAAAAGAACTAGGCCTTACTAATTCCGCGGTTATAGTCTGGATTTTTATAACAAACCCATCTTGAATCCGCTGTTTTTAAAACAAAATTTACTTAGTTGCCACTACCTCATCATAAATCCTTAGTTACGACGCCGTTAACCTCAAAAAGCCAATGTTGACTTTGTTCTCTGTTGTTGCCGTTTCTCCTCTCTGGTTCTTTCACTGCTATTTTTTTCTCTTGTCTCTTTGTTTGTGGTTTTATGCTTTACTTCAAATGACAAAAACAACAGCAACAAGAACAATACCAAACACAACAATGTCAACAATAACACAGAAAAAAATAGCAACAACAAAAACAAACATCTTGCTCCGGTGGTGGTTGAATTGAAAAAAAAAAAAAAAACAAAAATACAAAGACAATTTGTTGCTTCTTCTCGGGTTAACCCATTCGCAGACGTCATTTTTGGAACTGTTTTATGTTTTGCAAAGTAGAGGTTTTGAAACCATATTTTCCAATTGGAATGACATAACAATGAGATTGTCAAATCATGGTCTCCCTATAGAAGACCAGAGAGTCTTCTCATGTAGAATTCCAGAATATCTTCTTCTGCAATAGAAGTCATGGATGTCTTCTTCTCCAATAGAAGAGCAGGAGGCCTTCAATAGAAGATCCGAAGGTCTTTTTCTTTAATGAAGGTCTTCTTTCACAATGGAAGTCCAGGAGGCCGTTTTTTCCAATAGAAGGCCTGAAGGTCTTCTTCTCCAACAGATGACCTGAATGTATTCTTTTCCAATAGAAGACCTGGACGTTTTCTTCTCCAACAGATGACCTGAATGTCTTCTTGTCCAATAAAAGATCTGAAGGACTTCTTCTTCAATAGAAGACCTGAAAGTCTTCTTGTCCAATAGAAGGCCTGAAGGATTTATGGAGAGTTACGTGTTTTGTTTTAAAAACAGCGGATTCAAGAAGGGTCTTCATCTTCAATAGAAAACCTTAGGGTCATCTTCTCCAGTAGAAGACCTGAGGGTCTTCATCTCCAATAGAAAACCTGCAAATCTTCATCATCAATAGAAGACCCGAAGGTCTTCTTTTCCACAGAAGTTTGGCATCTTTTATACCCTACACAACATAGTGGTAAGGGTACTATGTTATTGGTATTTGTTTGTAACATGGAGAAGAAGCGAGATAAACTCATAGTTACTTTTGAGGATCTTCATAGGATCACTTTTTCAGTCGATTTATCCATGCCATGTATTCTTGTGAACAAAATGTAGGTTGCATTTATTATCCGATTGAAACGAAATGTTCCAAACAATATTTGTTTGGCCCAAGGACGAACTCTATTGAAATTGGTGATAATCGGATCAGATTTATATATAGCTCCCACATATATGCATCTTCATTTTGTCTGGAAAACCACATCAGCAGAAATGGTTCTAAAAGTAAAAAAGCGACTTGATCGAAATCCGCGTCGCAGTGACCGAAAAATGGCTCGTGAGCTGAACATATCGCAATATTCCATTCGGCAAATATTAAAAAATGAGCTCAGGGTAAAGCCATTGAAATTCCAAAAAGTGTAAGAACTTACACCGCAAGAGAAAGAAAATAGACTCAAAAGAGCTAAAGTGTTGCTTCGCTAGGCCGAAAGAGGATAACTACCGAATTTGGTTTTCTTCGCTTCAATGAGAAAACTTTCGTTGTCCAGCCGTTTCTAAAAACAAACAAAATGATCGTGTTTACTTACCAAAGACGTCAGCTGAAAATGTGCACCTTCGGTTGGCCACCAGAACTCAAGGGCCGGTCATGGTGATGGTGTGGGCCGCCATACCGCGACATCAGAATTAATGCCGAATATTGTCCCGAAAATATTCTGGAGGGTGTATTAAAGCCTTGGGGACGCAAACACTTTGGCCTCAACTAAAGAATGGTTACAAAATGAGGTTTCTCGCTTCAGTTCCAGCGCACAATGGCCACCAAAATCTCCGGATACCAATCCGTTGGACTATTGTCTCTGGAGTATTTTGGAAAGCAAGGTTGGCACTAAAAAATACCAAAGTGTCGATCATTTCAAGCAAGCGCTTCGCCGGGAATGGGCCACCAAAAAAAAAAAAAAAGGCAAAAAAAGGCCATAATTTGTGCCAAAATTTTGACGCCATTTCCGACATTTTTTTAGAAAATGTATGACATTTAAAAAGAAAATGTAAAAATTATGGCGTTTGACTTTGTTGCCGTTTTTTTATCTCACATAAAAGCTCGGCAATACCTCTGCCCAATTTTACCGAGATCGACTAAGATTTGGATATAATATCAATATAATATCAGTTCAGATGGATTGAATTTCGGGACGTATGTTTCCATTTTTTTGGAATTCGACTCCGATACCTATTTTTAAACCCTCCACCATAGCATGGAGGGTGTACTAAGTTTGTCATTCCGTTTGTAACACCTCGAAATATATATTTTTGACCCAACATATATTCTTGATCAGCATAAAATGCTATATCGCTTTAGCAATGTCCCTCCGTCTGTGGAAATCGCTCTAGCTTCCGAACGAAATGAAGTAAGTTGATAAAAATTTACTCAAATGTGTATTATGTCTGCAGGACTTTTGGCATTGAAAATGGGCCATGTAGGTCCACGTCTTCGCATAGTTCCCATATAACGGTACCTCCCGAAATGCGGTATTTTGATGATTTAGCCACATTATTTACCGGAATTGTTTCAAATTTGGTGTTTGAAGTTCGTAATGGATACTACAGCCTACGACAGAAAATCAGCCATTTAGATCCACGTCTTCGTATAGCCCCCATATAACGGTACCTCCCGATATTGGGTATTTTGATGATTTTAGCGACATTATTCACCGGAATTGTTTCAAAATTGGTATTTGAAGTTCGTTATAGGAACTACAGTCTGTGACAGAAAATTGTCTGTGCGGGTCCAGGTCTTCGTATAGGCCCCATATATCAGTACCTCCCTATATTCGGTATTTTGACGATTTTAGGTACAATACCCACTGAAGTTGGTTGAGATGTGGTATTTGAAGTTCGTAATAGATGCTACAGCCTGTGACAGAAAATTGTCTATGCTGGTCCAGGTCTTCGCACAGCTCCAATTTAACGGCACCTCCTTATATACGATATTTTGATGATTTTAGCTACATTATTCGCCGTTTATTTCAAGTTTCGAATTTGCTTAATGGCTTATGACAAACAATGCCTATGTATGTCCACGTCGTATAGACCCCAATATAACGGCTATATTCGGTATTTTTAAAATTTTAACAGAATTTTTTAAGGATTTTATTTTTTAAAAATTTCCAAATTCGTTGAAAATGGTAGAGGGTATTAAAAGTTCGGCCCGGCCGAACTTACTGCTTTTTAACTTGTTTATAACTCGGTTCCGATACATATTTTCTTTAGTATAATCCTTCTCGAAGTGATATCATGCACTCTTTAGCCATGTTATTGGTATTAGAGATTAAAATGTCTCCGTCTAATTTAGTGAAAATTGATTCAGGATAGGATATGCCTCCCATATATTCGCTCCCCCCTGTAACCACACTATAACTGCTCTTAAGTCAAAGTTTGATAAATTCGTTTGTTATGGGAGCTCTACAAAATATGCATAGTGGTGTAAGGTATCATATAGTCGGCCCCGCCCGACTTTTGACCTTTCCTTACTGGTTTTTTAATTAGCAAATTTGACTTAGTTGAGAATTGTTTACAATTTATTTTGAATTTTTTTTTTAATAATTAGAACTAATTCCCATTTTTTTATTATTTTCTTTGCAGACTTTTTTTTTAATTTCAAAACCACAAGCTTTGAATGTATTACTTTATTTCGCGGTAGCACAATAATAAAAAACCAAAAAAACAAATCCAGCAGTGGAAATAAAAGATAATAAAAAAGGAAGCAACCTGGGGTGCTGCAACCAACAACAACAACAACCTGGCCACTCCAAGTTGTTTCATAAAAAGACAGCATTATTTGCCCTGGCTTTGCTGTAATCCCCAAAGCTGGAATTGAAAAATCAACTGGAACACACACATATTCAGACACACACAAACAAAACGAACCCTTCAACCAAAAACAGTTCATATCAAAAGAAAAAACGAAAAAAAAAATAAAATAGAATTAATGAGAACACCATAAAGCAGGGAACTTCTTCTAACAGAGTTCGTCGTCGTCGTTTTGTTTTTCTGGCAAATAAAAATTCAAAATCGTACCAAGAAAACATTTTGGCAAAATCAAGAAAAAAAATAACAATTTCAAAGAGGAGAATCTGAAAAAAAAAATTACTTAAAAACCCATAACAAGCTAAGCTCCCCAGAAGGAAAAAAAAAACAAATAAAGAAAGAAAGACAAATAAATGAAACAGTAAAAAGAGGAAAAACCCCGGGGACCCTGCGAAATTGTCAAAGAGGCGAACCTAGAGTTGGTGGCATAGCATAATATACATATGGGCCCATTACCCTACTCACAAAACTTGCTTTTGGCCCAGCAATAAAAAAAAAAAAAACATTTCGTCACGATCATCCAAAAAAAAGAAGAAAACAATATTTTGGCCAGCAAGAGCCAAACACACATCCATGAGTGACAATTTTTTTTTTGGGGAACGATATTTGGAGACAAGGAAAACTACTACCATCCACATCAAAATAAGCTCTGAGCATTAGACCTCCAGGAGAAAACACCAAGGAAGCAGCTACTCCATATTAATTGTCATTGAAGCTGCTGAGTTGTTTTTTCCTTTGTGGCGGCGGCGGGAGTACTACAACCAAATTAGCTTCCATCAACAACAACAGATCTCAACAGGGAATTTTGTTGAACATCAACTTTGGGATACCAGTAGCCTGGCTGCTAGCCCCTTTTCCAAACAGTGACAATTGACAAGATTTGCTTCTTCATCTCCTCCTCCACCACCATCATTGCCATTTGTTTTGTAATGCCATTGGACAAATGTTAAATGAAAAAATGAGGTTTTGGAAACCTCCAACATCAAAGCATACAAATTAATGTGACTTTTGTTTGTCATCATTAGTTTTGTTTTTGTTTGCGTTTTTTTTTCCAATAATTTCCAACTAACAAAGTCAAAAATTGCTAGTGTTAATGTTGCCTTACCATCCCGGCTCCAACACCTGATCGAAGGACCATACTCTCCTTGATTGGCTAGGAGTTTGAAATCAAAAAAAGACACAAGTGAAAATATTTTCTCAATTTGCAAACTGTCAACAACAAAAATTGAAAATTAATTTCAAAATAATACAACAACGGCAAAATGGATGTTTTAGATGAAGATCGAAGGCGGAGGTGAGTTGTAAATTTAAATATTTATTTTTTATTATTTTTAAATATATTTTTTCAGAAAGTCTTTATGGGTTTTAATTTCTATTTATTATTCAATCTTTTTAATTTTTTTTTAATTTCTATTTATTATTCAATCTCTCAACTTTACAAAAATGTTTTGATGTTCAAAATCGAAGCAAAGGTGTCAGAGCTATGGCATTTTTAAAACTAGTACCGTGGAGCGTATGATTATTATTATTTATTGGGTTATTTTACGGAAACTCTTCTAACTTTTCAACTATATATCCGATTTTAAAAATTAAACATTGTTTGGGGAGCCAAGAAATAAGAATATATTATGTGAACATATAATTTAGATATATACTCTAGAACTTAAACAATTTTGCCATGGAAAAACCGACACATTTCAATTCTATGTTAACTGGATTTTATTTTAGTCTTTGTGGTCAATTTTTTTTAAATTTCTTTGATTTACATATTTTTTAACTTTACCAAAATGGTTCCCTGACCAAGATACTAAAGAATATATTTAACAATTTACAAAAATGCTCATGTATCCATGCGACTATTTTTTTTAAATATTCAGTACTTGCAGACTTCAGCATCTTTCTCAATTATTAGCATGCATTTGGCATTTACAAAAATATTTTCTTATCTAAATTTTTATCAGGGGTTCAGAAGTTATGGAGTTTTTAAAACGAGTACCGTAGAGCGTATGATTATTATTAATTTTTGGGTTATTTCACCGAAACTCTTCTAAATTTTAAACTATACATCCGATTTTGAAAATGAAACACTTTCTGGGTAGTTAAGATATTCGGAAATACTAAGTATAAATAAAATTTGTGTAGATACTCTAGAACTTGAACAATTTTGACATGGAAAAATCGACACATTTTAATTCTATGTTTATGGATTTTATTTTAGTCTTTGAGGGCAGATTTTTTAATTTTTCTTTGATTCATACATCTTTTAACTTTACAAAAATGGTTCCTTGACCAAGATACTGAAGAATATATTTAATAATTTTCAAAAATGCCCAAGTGTCTAAGAAAAATATCCTTTGAAACCAGTGAAGAATATTTTAAGCGACCCTTCAAAATTTTCAAATATTCAGTACTTGCAGACTCAGCATCTTTCTCATTTATTCGCAGACGTTTTACATTTACAAAAATATATCGTTATCTAAATTTTAACCAGGGGTTCGGAAGTTATGGGATTTTTAAAACTAGTACCGTGGAGCGTATGATTGTTATTAATTATTAGGTTATTTCACTGAAACTCTTCTAACTTTTCAACCATACGTCCGATTTTAGAAATTAAAAATTTTTTGGGTAGCCAAGATATTCGAAAATACTAAGTATAAATAAAAATTTGTGTAGATACCCTAGAACTTGAACATAGATCAACACATTTTAATTCTATGTTAACTGCATTTTGTTTTAGTTTTTGAAGGCAGTTTTTTTTTAATTTTTCTTTGATTCGCATATTTTTTAACTTTACCAAAATGGTTCCCTGACCAAGATACTAAAGAATATATTTAATAATTTACAAAAATGACCATGGACCTAAGAAACATTTCCATTGAAACCAGCCTAGAGCATTTTATTCGAACCTTCAAGTTTTCAAATATTCAGTACTTGCAGACTTCAGCATCATTCTCATTTCGCATACGTTTTACATTTACAAAAATATGTTGATATCCAAATTTTAATCAGGGGTTCAGAAGTTATGGAATTTTTAAAATTAGTACACCAGTGCGTATGACTATTATTAATTATTGGGTATTTTTAGAAAAACTCCTCTAACTTTTGAACTGTATATTCGATTTTGAAAATGAAATATTTTTTGGATAGGAAAGATACTAGACTATATTATGTATACATAAAATGTGTATGGATACTTCTGAACTACAGCAATTTCTCATAAAAAATGCTTTTTGTTCCCCTATATTAACTGTATTTTATTTTAATCTTTGATAACTTCAATATTATTTTTTTATTCTAATTTATCTTTTCGAAAGTAGTTTTCTTGGTAAAATTCAATCAATAATTTTTAATTTATAGAATTTCTAAAATTGATACCCTGGGCGTTGATTACTAATTATTTGGTAAAAACTATTTAAATATATCTGATTTTCGTAATTTAAAATTGTTTTGGAAGCAAAAACATTAGACTTAATGGGGTACATACAATATCTTTTTTAGTTTTAATTTACCCGCATATTTTTTCGATTCACAAAAATGCTTTGATATACAAAATCAAAGCAAAGGTGTGGAAGTTATAGAGTTTTCTCGTTTGGTACACCAGAGCGTATGATTGCTTTTAATTATTGGGTATTGTTAGAAAAACTCTCTTAATTCTGATCTATTAAAAATGTATTCCGGAAAATTCTACAGTTTTTTTTCTGTGCGACGTTTCTTAAGTTTCTTTGCAAGAACAGCTCTACGAAACTATTGAAAAGTCCGACATGTATGATCAGACATAAGCTAGCTTTGCCACCACAGCAGAGTAAATGGTCCGAAGTTATACAATTTTTAAAATTGGTACCACAGTGCGTATGATTATTATTAATTATGGAGTTATTTTGGAGAAACTCCTGTAAGTCTTTAAATATCCACCCGATTTTGAAAATTAAAAAAGGATTGGGTAACTTAGATATGAGACTTTAAAATATTAATAATAAATGTATGTGTACGCCCATGCTGTCATTATAAAATAAAAAAAAAAATTGTCGGAATTCGGGGAATTTCTTCTCCAATTTTCCAGGGGTTTTTCCAGTTAATTTCTGGAAAAATGTGTGTCATTCAAAAATTTATTTTGCAAGATTATTTAAAGGACCAACACGGAGTAATATCTATTTACACTTACCAAACTCCAAATTGAAGAAGCGAAATATTTCTGTCATCCTTGCCACTAGAACATAGGGGAAATAAAAATTAGCTGAAGATATGATAGTGATTTAAACAAAACTTACTTTAAATGACATCGATGAGGAAATGCCACTCAGTTTGTTGATATGTAGAAGTCACTTTTTTCACATTTGCATCTCCTTCCTGACACGTCTGGTCTGGGGATTTCTATGGCGGGGGGGCAACCTCATTTTAATATCCATGAATCTGCCTTCTCTTGTGAATGCTTTACTAGTGTCCTGATGATGCACACTGCTTCAATTTTCACGAAAGCTACACCCTCAAATGCTGATGGTGGATGACCTGGACATCTTTTTCCATTATTTCATAATGCGAAATCTGCTGTCATTTGTTAATTTTAAAAGACTGATGTCCTCGTCACTAGAACATATGGGAAATACAGAAAGTGAAATTAGACGGAAGAGATTTGCGGAATGATCTACACTAAAAAATTGATAAAAGAAATCGTGTAGCTCTCTCTTTGTGATATATTCAGATATTCTAACCACTTGTTTATTCTTTAAAAAATCTGCACAAAGTAATTACTTTTCCAAAGTTTATGCAAAATTATCATCCAAGGAAATTCTATAATTTGAAGTATAAATTGATATTCTCACCACTAGAACATATGGGAAATATTTTCAGTTCAATTCGAAGCAAGAAAAGAATATATTGATAAAACTTTTGAATTTAGATATTTTAATTATTAGATCATAAAGGCTATTTATTGAGATTAAAATTATTGTGAGATAAGGTTTGAATACCATAACTTTTTGTGTTCAATTATATCCTTGCCACTAAACCATATGGGACATGTAAATAAATAAATAAATAATTTAATAAAAAAAATAAACTTAATTATTTCTTCAACAATTTACTAAAAAAAACATTCTACAAAACCATAAATTGATACTCTCGCCACTAGAACATATGGGAAATATTTTCAGTTATTCGAAGCAAAAAAAAGGATATATAGATCAAATATTGAGAAAACTTTTGAATTCTTCAATTTTTATGCATGTCAGACTTAGTTAGTCACAAATGCTGATGGTGGATGACTTAGTAGTATTTTCCCATTATGTCATCGTGCAAAATCTGCTGTCAGTTGTTTGGACGCCAAAAGATTTCAATGTGTGATGCATACTTTTAGGCGCCACATACTTTCTTACCTTTTTAAGCTGTTACTGCAGCAGAAAATTTACCACCGTCGTCATGGCTTCCATAGCCTGGTTTTTTAGGGCTGAATTCAGCTTTTAATAATTAGCATTTTGTTTCTGTTTTTCAATTCAATTCGGATATATTAATATTTTTCCAAATTTGATATTGATTGAGATTAGCATTTAAATGATGGCATGTCTCTCAATCTCGTGACGAGCGTTAAGTGACACTCCTGACTCTACTGCGAATGTTTCCAAATCCTACGGCTTAACTATTCTTCGAACGACCTATCTTTGAATCAGAGGTCGGTTTTATCTCCATCCAATTACCGACGAAAGCTGAGATCTGCATTTTGTTTCTGCTCTTCAATTTATCTCCATTTTTCCAAATTTGATATCAACTGTTTGCTCGCAAAAGCTTCAATGAATGATGCATACTTTTAGGCGCAACAAACGTAAATCTTCAAAGGGTTTTTAACATCTTCCAAAAGATCTCTAAAAGTAAAATTAATATTTGATTGAGGAAATTGGATTCTTTTAAAATTTATATATGCGACTCACCTTCACCTTTTTTAAGGAGGATCAGATTTTTTTTACTTCTTGCGTGGAAGTGAAGCTTAGAGTAACATTTTCAATTTTTATTTTCTTTCCAAAAATCACGCCAGTCCGTCACTTTTTCTTATCCTCTGGCCACCAAATAAAATTCTAGCGTTTCAAAACTGACGACAACCGTTTGTCACCAAAATATCAACCTTAATAAACATGTCGTATAAAACAGCCATCAAATTTTGTGAGCGTAAGATTGAGCCAACACAGCGAACTTTTTTTGTGGCAAGTTGTATGGCCAAATCGGGTAATGGCAGCTCCTTTATTCTTTTTGGGCAAAAAGGCAGCGAACATTCGTTTCGGATCATTTAATATTTCGTGTCAAAAT